CAGTATCGAAAACCTCCACCGGAACAGACATGAACCTGCTCCCTGACCTGCTCCGTAGAGAAAGCAGTAAAAGCCAGTGAAACATTCGTTGGCAGCATCGAAATTCTCCACCAGAATCGACTGGAACTTGATCAGTCGAGAATGCAAGAAAATCATCGAAAATCTCCACCGGAATCGACAGGAGCCTCTTCGGTGACAACGTCAGTAAAATTCGCTAGAACTTTCATTGGCGGTTTCAAAAAACTTTATCAGAATCGACTGGAATAAGGGGTTTTTGTCCAAAATCGATTTGAAGAACTGAATCGAAGGTGATTAACTTGACGCTGGTGGATTTGCTGGGCTTCACTAAGGTACCGGTTGGCTATCTTCCTGAGGAAGAACATTGAAAATCCAAACTCGATTATCTTGGCAGTTTAGCTAGAAATTCACATGAAAAACATACGAGGAAGTTCCAAGTTTTCTGAAAACTACTTTCCACTACACGAGCAAAAACAGTTCTTTTTCGTCTTCTTTGCATTTCAAAGCTTATTGCATATCGCATATTAGCTTATTGCGTGCGCTCAACTTAGTCTTCTAGATGCACTTCCACAGTTGTTAATTGAGAGCTTTCGATGCCTGTACCATTTTTGCATTGTGTGGCAAGTCCAATCATACTTCTATGCTCAGGGAAGTCGAGAAATTTTCCAACCAGAAAAATTCCTAAACCGAACCGGGAATCGAACCCAGCCGCCTCCAGCATGGTCTTACTTTGTAGCTGCGCCTTTACCGACTGAGCTAAGGGAGGCCCCAAGCAAAAACAGTAGTCGTCTTTTTTGCCTTGGCCGAGTCACTCTCCAATTTTGTGTTCATTAGCCAGATTTATTCCACAGCCGGCACTGGTCGTACAACCAACAATCAATACGAAACTAACGATTTTAAATTGGCTCACTACTTGACTAGCCTATTGGTTCCAAGCAAACGATTAACGTACCCCATTCTAGTCGAAATTCTAGTACTACGCAATGTTTGTTTTGATTCGATATGAAAGTTTGACAGATAAAATGAGGGGTTATTGGTTTTTCCTATGTTTCGAGGGGTGAATCGATTAGCTTGGGACCGAAGAGAGTACCAGACCCTTATAAAATTGTTATGGTTATTTTGCTTAACGACGTGTTCTGGGTATCATCCAAACCATTTGTTGTATAGTTCTATTATTTGGGTTATCGTTCGTTTATGGTTATTTTTTATTAGGGGAGCTGAGCCAAAAAGTTGAGCACGTTATTTCGGGACCTTCTAGTCTTAGAGTTACCTCTATGGTACAACCATAGAGGTAACTCTAAGACTAGAAGGTCCCGCAGAAACGTGCTCAACTTTTTGGCACAGCTCTGGTATTCTCTTCGGTCCCAAGCTAAATGATTCACCTTTCGAAACATAGGAAAAACCAATAACCCCTCATTTTATCTGTCAAACTTTCATAGCGAATCAAAACAAACATTGCGTAGTACTAGAATTTCGACTAGAATAGGGTACTTTAATCGTTTGCTTGGGACCAAAGACTAAAGTGGTGAGCCAATTTAAAATCGTTAGTTTCGTATTGATTGTTGGTACAACTAAATAAAGTGATAGAATCCAATCACGTTAGAAAGCAGAGTAAAATAAGGTGAACTCTGAACGTTCCAGGACATTCGAAATTGCATCTGAAGTTACGCAGAGGAGCGTGTTAGGTCCATTGTGATGAGCTACATCGGTGCACCCCTCGTTACTATATGCACAGACAAACAGACGTAACTCTTCATTGTGTATCTTCGTTCATGCATTTAACGGTTGATTTGAATATTATCAGTTCCGCGAACTACTCGCCGCAGCGCTGGCATCGGATCACTTTGACGTTTCTATACATTCTATAGAACTTTTATGCAATATTGTTTACCAGTTAGCGAGCAAGCTTGTTTTCCGCGAGAAGCCAGAGAGATGTCGTTACTGAGGTTATGTGTTTTGAGATACTATGTTTTCAAGAACAAGTTTTTCAAAGAGTTACGTCTGTTTGTCTGTGCTATATGTATCTTGGTAGCGCATATCATTATAATAACCTTGGCGCTCATCACCAATAGTTACCTTGTTGTTTTTTTTTTCCATTCTTGAATAAAACGTGTAACTTTGCAACCACGTGTTTTTCTCTTTCGAAAGTATTTCGTTTTCGTTCCGGGTTATTCTTTTCAGCCGACGAAGATCCACTGTTGAACCTGTCCACCTCGGCCTACACATTGATCTTTGTCCTCGGCAAAGAGCAGTTTCACAGAACTCATTAATGTGGGGTGCATCGATTAGCTTGGGACCGAACAGAGTACCAGAGCTGAGCCAAAAAGTTGAGCACGTTTCTTCGGCACCTAACTAGAGTTACCTCTACACACTAAGATTTTTTTACAGTATACCGTTATTTTTTACCGAATATGGAACAGCTGAACATTCGGTAATCTGTTCGGTAATTTTTTAATTCACAATCCGTTCGGTAAATTTTGTTCCCTTTGTGAGCTGTCAAAATGTACTGACCAGGACTGTAAATTTTGCTGAATGATCGGTGAAGTTTGCAATATAGCGTTCGGTATAATTTTTACCGAATGGCTGTACTTAATTTGCCTGAATTAATAATTAATAACATGATTTTTATTGAATAATTAATTATTTATTTCTAACAACAAACCTGAAGATTCATTTGACTAATCATTTATTTATTATCTAATAACATACATTTTCATCGTGCGTCCGTATATAAAGTAAGAACCTGACCGTGGTTAGCGACCCAGTAGCGAACCGTGCACAAATTCGCTTTTTGTTGTTGTGGACGAGGTTTTTGTGTAACATTTGGCCATTTAATGTCCATGTCGTCTGAAAGCAATTGGCCCAGAAATGAAAAAAAATATAAATAATACTTTCGATGTAAATTGGACGGATTATAGGAAAAAAGTAACATACTTACTAGTCACAAAGGATAGTTGAAGAACACTTAACTTCAAAATGACAGCAAAGCTTTACAGTGTGAAGTGTAAAAATCTGTTCTGTATATTTTACAAAAATCTGGTACATTACTGCTGTTTGTTTTTGTAAAAGATTATGTTTACAGCACATTCGTCACAATGTTTAGAGTATTGTGGAATTGCAGCAATTTACAATTTGAATCAGTAATTTTGATTTACAGTTTTCGGTAGATTTCTATATATTACGGAAATTCAGCAGTTTTGATTGCGGAAAATTGGTAAATCAATACTTTTTACAAAGCTTTCGGCAAAAATTACATTTTACAGAACGAATCCAGCAAAAAAAAGTACCGAACAAGATTTAAGAAATTTGGTGTGTATGGTACTACCATAGAGGTAACTCTAAGACCAGAAGGTTTCGAAGAAACGTGCTCAACTTTTTGGCTCAGCTCTGGTACTCTCTTCGGTCCCAAGCTAATCGATTCACCCCTCGAAACATAGGAAAAACCAATAACCCCTCATTTTACCTGTCAAACTTTCATAGCGAATCAAAACAAACATTGCGTAGTACTAGTATTTCGACTAGAATGAGGTACGTGAATCGATTTGCTTGGGACCAATAGGCTAGTCAAGTAGTGAGCCAATTTAAAATCGTTAGTTTCGAATTGATTGTTGGCACTACTGCTGCTGACGCAGCAAGTCAGAGGTATAGCTGGCGGTCCTTTTCTAGTCTCACTCTGAAAGCCGTTGCTCCGGGCTGTGGTCGTATTAGCTCCAAATAATCCTCACGTCGGTTGTGCTTTCTTCATTAAACAAACATCAGCTAAGAAGTCGCACAGGGATCTGTCATATTCAGCGTTATGTTTTGGTTGAGGATATGGTTTCCAGTAAATATATTTCTTTCGGTTGAATACCCCAGAAACACCATTCTACACCCAAAAACACACGTGAAACACAATAAGCACAGACTCAATGTGGCAGAGTTACTTACCCCCTGGAGATTACTCACGTTTAAGGTAGTTCCTCATTTAATGAAAATGAGTCAAATGTTACTCAGTTTTGAGTAAAATTTAACGAACGTGTAGAAGACAACAATATCAAAATATTGTTTTATTTCGAAGTTCGAGTGGTAGTAAACGTAATTTTAACTGCTCGAATCAAGGTGTCAACTCAGTCGTTCGTGCTGGCGTTCATGTCCATTATGCCGAGCATTATGCATGGCCCATAAATAAATAATGTATTATTAACAGTATCCCCCCACTAAACCGACATAATCATGACCGGACTAGAAATACTCAGAGGAAGAGATGGGCGGAGAGAATGTTTTGAGCCAAAAGAACTGTCAAAATCTGAGCCAATCGAACATTCAAATTAGCTGTTTTTACGAGGATTTTTTATTCTTACTCTAGTTCTTACTAGAATAAATTTGAGAGTATTGCAGTTGAACAGAAATTCAATCACCCCATAAATCACGTAAATCGAATCAAAAATAAAAGTCATTTGAAATGCAGAAGCTAGCAAGGGTTGCAAGATAATTTATACCCCGTGCAGACTATGGCTTATATCATGTAATATAGGCTGTCTTGCAATGAGCACTCATATATAGGATTTCCAGTGAAAACTAGATGTATGAGTGCTCATTGCAAGACAGCCTATAATATATGATATAAGCCATAGTCTGTCTGGGGTATTAGGAACAAATCCCTGCTGCCGAATTGTATTTTGTTTTCTCCGTCTATCTCTCCCTCCGAGTCTCCCTCTGAGTATTTCTAAACCGGACTATCGGGTTTGACTCGCTAATCTAACTGTCCAATCCATAAAAAAAAATCCAATCAGCACAAATCTGAAACTTAACAGAAAAATGCATTCAAAAGCGTTTGTTATACTTTTTAATCCAACATTTTCCGGATAAACGCTCGTCGGATTATCGAGTTTCGGATGAGCTGGGAGCTGCGAAAATTTTATTTATGCATTTGAGCAAGTCATGCACCGAGCTCGATCGGATGATTGCTATAAAATTTCAGTTCAGCGACGCACACGGCCCGACGTCTGACAGCGGGACGTGACGTCACAAACTTCAGTCCATCCCGCAGCTCTTTTCCAATCTAGCTGTCTATAATAGTGGAAGCGAGTGCATTCCAACAGCAATCAAAATGGTTAATATTTCGTGTATTTCTGGCCGAATAATTCCAGAATCGCAGTGAAATCAGTGGAAATAATGTCCGGTTCGTGGTTGAATTGTTTTGGTAGTGGATTTATGGCCTTGTCGAGTGCTGCAGCGGATCTTTCCGGCACCTCATGTGGTGTTTTCCTTTTGGTCAACAGAAGAGACTACTTAAGAGTGCTATTTAACGTTACGATCAATTATTGTAGTTCTCAAAGAAGCTTTTAATGTGACACAAGGTTTTCTCCGTTGAAGCACTGGGACGCAAATCCACCGGGAATGATTAAAACCAAAGACTACACTTCCACTGTTCACTGCGATATCTAAACAAACGTTCCTCCCGGATCGAGTGAGGTTATGGCAGCGATTTGTTGATACTGATTCGCTCGTCTCTTCTTTCCTTTCCTGCAGGTGAAGGTGAAATGTTCGGAACTGAGGACCAAGGACAAGAAGGAGCTGACCAAGCAGCTTGAGGAGCTCAAGACTGAGCTACTCAATCTGCGTGTGGCTAAGGTCACCGGCGGTGCTCCGTCCAAGCTGTCCAAGATGTGAGTTGTTTGCAATTGCTTGTATGTTGAATGTCACTCAATTCCGAATCTCTTTTCCGATTTACAGCCGCGTCGTCCGTAAGGCCATCGCTCGCGTCTACATCGTGATGAACACCAAGACCAAGGACAACCTGCGCAAGTTGTACAAGGGCAAGAAGTACGTCCCGCTGGATCTGCGCCCGAAGAAGACCCGCGCTATGCGTAAGGCCCTGTCTCCCCGGGATGCCGCTCGATTGACGCTGAAGGAACAGCGGAAGCGCGCCAAGTTCCCAACGCGAAAGTACGCCGTCAAAGCCTAAACTTTGGGTGAATTTTGTTCAACACTTTTGTTTTAAGTCGTAAGCGGAAGAACTGTAGAACGGATCCGTTGGGATTCGTTCGAAATACTGGAGGGAAGGAGTGAAGAAAATAAATTCCGGAAAAATAGTTCCAAACGGGAAACAACCGAGTGTATTCGGAGTATTTTCTTGAGAGTTTACAGTGAAATCCATTTAGGATGTGAATGAGGTGATCAACACACAGGTGGGTTTGAGGTAATTTAGAGGAAATTTTAAAACGTAGGTACCTACTAGGAAATACCAGAGATGGGATCTTAGGACATCAAGAAAAGTTTTCTAGGTTTCTTTGGGACAGTCGTAAGTAGCTGGGAGTCAATGTAGGGAAATTTCGGTAATAGTAAACACCCAAGATTCAATTTTCAATGCCATCGCAATTTATTTAATAATCAGGAATACATCTGTTCACAAAGTACCACCGCAACTTCTCAGCTCTACTTGGGTTTGTACTTGTTCAACGTCTCGAAAAGCTCGTCGGCTTCTGTGGCCGTCTTAACTCGTAGAAGCACCGATGTTGGCGGCGGTTTTGAGTCTGGCGTTGGCAAGCATATCATCATCACATTGTTTTTGCCCATCCGCTGCAGTGGGACGGACTCGTTCAGGATGATATTGAGCAGAATATTACCCAGGCTGGTATCCGCTCGGACCAGCACCTGCACCTTGGAGTCCACCTTCTTGATGTGCACGGTTCCGACGCCACGGTCGCTGAAGTTTCCCTCTACCTTGACGAACAACTTGCACCGCTTCGAGTAGAGGCTGTCCTTCTCTTCGACCGGGGTGAATTCGACCTTCGGTGGTTCATCCTCGTCCGCATCGGCGTCTTCCTTGTTGTCGGATTTCTTCTCCTCGACAGGCTTCACCACATTGGCGAATGTGAAACCGGTGCTGGGTGTCGTGGCCGGCGAAGTACTGATTCCGAAGCTGAATGTCTTTGCTGGAGCTGTCGTAGCCGCAGGTGCGGCGGGGGACACACTTCCAAAAGTAAATCCACTCTTAACCGAAGTCGGGGTTGTTTTGGCTAAAAACAATCCGGAATTTAATCAAAATGATTAAATCGCTTTCAGAAAAAAAAAACTTACCAGGTTCCTTGCTTTCCACCTTATCCTTCTTGGCCTCAATTTCGCCCAAATACTTCTCGTAATCCTTGAAAATCGGCGTCAACTTGCAGAGTGGATTTTCCTTCACCTTGTCCGAAATCCAATCCGCAACCGATTGGTTCAACGCTTTGATACTGGCCGCATATTCATCCGTTTTTGCATCTCCTGTCTCCTTCTTCTCGTTCGCACCGCCGCTGCCCAATAGCGTCTTCGGAGGGCTTCCGAACCCGGAGAAAATCTTCTTATTCGGATCGGTGGATGCAAAAATACTGGCACCAAGTGCGGAGGTCGTCGCGCTTGCAATCGAACTTGCCCCCGGAGATGCTGCCGTCGCAGTGGCAGTTCCATTCGTCGGTTTAGTGATGTTGCTCAGAAATGAAAACGGACTAGCTCCGTCAGCTGGCTTCGCTACCGTTGTTGCTGCCGGGGTGGACGTTGCAGCGGCAAATCCCTTGAAGCCACTGAAAACTGATCCACTGCCGGAACCGGCACCGGAATCTGCTCCGGCTACACGCCGGCGAGCTGTTTTAATGACTCGTTTTTTGAGTTCGTCCTCCGTTGCTAGGGCGAACTTTCCGGCCTCCTCCGGTTCCTCTTCCTCGTTCCAATTGTCGTGGTTGAGATCCGACTGGGCACTACGTTTCGACATTTTCCCCATGATGAACGGCTTTCTGGGAAAAGTAAACAATACTTTGTTCGATATCACAGCATCTATCAAGAATGAGTACTTACATGCTACCTTGGCTAACAGAGAGTTCTTATAGGAACCTTTCGAAATAGTTAGTAGTGTTTCAACTAGTATCAGCCAAATTAAAAATTATCTTGTTTTCAGGGAACGCGGAACGGCACCAGTTTTACGCACAATCACGTTTGTTTTGCCTTTGGTTTTGCCGGAAAATTTGACAGATACAAGCGATCGCTGTACCCCTGCGACTGGAAATGTTCATTGGATCATGTGAATTGATCCGCAAATAGCCGTGAGCGCGCTCCAGTTATAAACCATCAGCGAACACATACTTAATATGTGTACACATAAAAGCTAAAGCCCTACAGTAAAAGTACGGACGTCTGTCAAAAGTTGTTCCAATCGAACCGTCAAAATGCACCGCTTTGCTCGATTGGAAGAGCTTTTTTTCAGTTTTGTGGTGACAGTCGTCCTTACTTTTACTGTAGGGCTTTAATAAAAGCCATGTGTAGCCACATCACTGTAACTGGAAAGTACCCATTAATGGGTGAAAAAATGCCTATTTCGCGGTTAAGTAGGTAAACTCATAAAATGGGTAAAACATCATTACCCACTAATGGGTAAAGAGCTTGTACGTCAAATCATGGAGTACTTTTTACCCATTTCCAAAATTGATTGTATTTGGTAACTGCACACAAAGAAAAGTCGTTTATAAAATTAAAAAAACCATTGGTAGATTTAAAAGTTTGCATTGGTTCTTTTTGGTAGAAAGCGGTTAGCTTTCAAAATAAAAGTCAACCAACCGTCAATTCAAAAGTTGTCCGCTCGATACTTTTAAAAGTTCAAATTTTCAAATTGAATTGTAGAACTGTCAAATGAAAAATAAATTAGTGTTGAAATTAATGGTGGATTATTTTTGACTTGAAAATGTGGCATAGTTAAAATTAAATGGGCAGTTTGAATTAAAATTAAAATATTTTCAAAAAATATTTATTTGGCAAAAAAAAAATATTTTGGTTTTAATTTTAGTGGATAAATATTCAATCTTCTTTATTATTATTTTGCAATAGGAGAAGATCCATTTTTTTTTACATTGTTATTGTTATCTTTGTTGATGTTTCCGTTATTGCGTCTTGGAGCTATTCTCGCTTTGAGTAAACCTGCTACAGTAACAGGTACATGGTGATGTCACATTGCAGCATTGTCAGCAGCGTCATTGTTTACCGGTGGAGATTTTACGGCAGCGGATAGCGGAAGGAAGGTATCAAATTAGACCGTTTTTGGTGAGGGTTTCTGTGGAATATTAATTAAATATTGTTATATACCTTTAACATCTACTGTTGTAGTAGTCGTCGAACACTCACTTTCATTCCTAGCCATCTCGTCCGCTCGCAGATGACTATTGTTTCGGACTCGGTTTCGGTTTATCTGAAATTAATAAAAATCTCTAATTAAACTCTACTATTGTTCTTAAATTTGATCGCTTACCTGATGCGACTATTATTTTCCATGGAGGAAAATTATTGTCCTTCCCAACTTTTCCTCGCTCTTCGTGACTCATCTGACGTCAAGCCAAATTAAGCGGCAAAACGAGGTCCAGTGCTGCCAAAAACTTTGCCTAGAAAATGTATTTTTGACAGTTGAACAACTTTCATTTAAAAAAATGCACTTTTAAAATTACAAGTCGAACCTGAAAGAAACACTTTCAAACCAAAAAAATAACTTTTAATTTGAATATTTTCGTTGTTAAAATTACGAAATTTAGGAAACTTTTAATTTGAAATGGCATTATTTTTATTAAAACAATTTTTGTTTTTTGTGTGTGGGTAAAAAGTACTCATTTTAAATAATATTTCAATGGGATATAATCTGATATTTGAAAATTTGTTTGTTGTATGGAAAATACGGTTCGAAAGAAAAGAAAATAAAAATTACTGATTACTAAACTTGGTTTTTATTGAACGTAAACAATGAATTTAGAAATACAATAATCGTCAGAATCGTTTTCGTCAGCATTGATGGATTCCATAAACGATAAAACTAAACGATTGACCATCTGCCGGGTGCTGGTCGTTTTGATTCCGTAACACATGAACACAAAATCAATAATATTCTGCACTGCTGCTGGCGGACGAATGTTGAAAACACTTAACACTTTGAATAGAGTGTCCAACGCGCAGATGGAGTCAATTCCACCGTGGATGCGTCAACGAAGATGGATTAATTGTTGCCATTGAAAATCACATGGGGCACCAACTTTTATTTTATTTTTAAACGAGACAAAAGCACTCCAAGTATGTCAGCAAACTAACGGTGCAACAAAGATATTTTTCACCCAATAATGGGTAAAAATTTACCCATTATTTTTCCCTGAACAATTTCCAAAAATGGGTGAAAAAATACCCACTATTTGAAATTTTCATTTACGCATTTTTTGACAGCTTCATACACTACCAAAAAATGGGTACTTTTTCACCCATTAATGGGTACTCGCCAGTTACAGTGTATACTATTCATTTAGTTGAGATAGTAGCCCTAATAAAAATTGTATGGTTAATTTGCTTAACGACGTGTTCTGGGTATCATCCAAACCATTTGTGGAATAGTTCAATGATTTGAGTTATCGTTCGTTTATGGTTATTTTTTATTAGGGAGTGTAAGCTGTGCTTCATCTGTTCTTTATATCTGTGGCAGAGTAGAATTTAACCAGCTTCGGTGTAGTTTACGCTCACCGTGTAGAACTTTTTATTCTCTGCCTGTACTGTACTTTTCCCCTTCATTCTAAAATAAACGATTTGCAATACGGAGATGTCTGCGCGTGTTCTCTCTTTAATAGGTTATGGGCCTATTCACGGAAGTTTATTCGTAGTGCGAAAAAGTTTTTTTCTACGGTACGCGAGTGGTAAACATGCCTGGAAGCGGATCCGGAAACTCTGCTGGAGCATCGGGTAGTGGTGCTGGATCAGTAGTCCACAACATCTCCAGTCTTCCGGGAATCGAGCGGCTCACGGGACGTGATAACTGGCCCACGTGGAAGTTTGCGGTGCAGACATACTTGGAGCTGGAGGATCTGTGGAGCGCTGTGAAACCGAAGAAGAAGGAGGACGGAACCGACGAAGCTGTTGACGCTGCTTGCGATCGCCGTGCGAGAGCAAAAATCATTTTGCTTCTCGACCCCGTTAACTATGTCCACGTGAAGGAAGCGAAATCGGCGAAGGAAGTTTTAGCCAAACTGGAAAGTGCATTCGACGACACAGGTCTAATACCCCGTTCACATTACAGCCTATATCACGTAATATAGGCTGTCTTGCAATGAGCACTCATACATAGGATTTCCAGTGAAAACTAGATGTATGAGTGCTCATTGCAAGACAGCGTATATCACGTGATATACGCTGTAATGTGAACGGGGTATAACGCGACGGGTTGGATTGTTGCACAAGTTGGTAAAAACAGAGCTGTCTGCTTGCTCCTCAATGGACGATTACGTCAACCGGATTATGACCACTGCTCATCAACTGAACGGGATAAAATTCCCGATCTCCGATGAATGGATAGGAACGTTGCTGCTGGCTGGTCTCCCCGACGCTGGACGCAGCGGGAAATATAAGCAGCAAAACGAGCCGAGGAGTGATCCCCCCAAAGGACCAAAATGCCGAAAGTGCCACAAGTTTAGACACATTGCTCGTGATTGCAGGAGTGCCAAAAAGGAGGATGCTTTCTGCGTGGTGCTGTCAACCTTTTCATCCACGAAGGCATCAGAGTGGTTCATCGATTCAGGTGCAAGTGTGCACATGACGAATAACCCGAAGTTTCTGGAAAATTTGCAGCCAGCGACTGGGTCAGTTGTCGCTGCTAATGGAAACGGGATGAAGGTAACGGCAAGTGGATCGGCCACGTTGAAGCCGGCTTGTCAGGAGAACAGTATTCCGGTACACGATGTCCAACTGATCCCGGATCTTTGAGTGAATCTTCTCTCCGTGAACCAGATCGTCAGCAAGGGATATACGGTTGTGTTTACCAACGCTGGATGTAAAATTGTGAACAGCGACGGGAAAACAGTGGCCACAGGCAGGCACGAAAACGGATTGTTTTCGCTCGAGCAGCAGCAGGACATGAAAAATGCTTTGGCTTGCTTGCCAGCAACCAGTGTGACGGTTTGGCACCAACGACTGGGACATTTGAACCTTAAGAGCGTTCGAAAGCTAGCCAACGGATTGGTAGATGGAATCACAATCAACAGCACAGACGCGGGAGGCTGCAAGGTATGTTCAATGGGTAAACATCCCTTTAGCAAGGAAGGTTCGCGTGCAGCAGAAATGTTCGATGTGGTACACACCGACATTTGCGGGCCCATGGAGGTGAAATCTCTTGGAGGAAGCAGATATTACATCGTCTTCGTGGATGATAAGTCTCGGAAGATGTGGACGTACTTCCTCAAAACGAAATCGGGACCAGAAGTTTTGAGAACTTTCCAAGAATTCCACGTAATGGTTGAGCGCCAACCCGAGCGGAAGATCAAGGTTCTTCGCAGCGACAACGGAAAGGAGTACGTGAATGATGGATTTGAGAAGTACTTGAAGTAGCATGGCATTCAGCACCAGAAGACTACAGCATACACTCCGGAACAGAATGGTATGGCGGAGCGTGCAAACCGTTCAATAGTTGAACGCGCTCGATGCCTACTGTACGAAGCAGGACTGGCGAAGACGTTTTGGGCTGTGGCCGTACATACTTCCGTCTACCTGCTGAACCGATCCCCAACTCAAGGTCACAACTCTACTCCTGAGCAAGTCTGGTTCGGGAAGAAACCCAATTTGTCACATCTTCGGATTTTCGGTACCAAGGCAATGGTACAAATACCCAAGGAACGGCGACGCAATCTCGACCCCAAGTCTCGGGAATGCATTTTTGTTGGGTACGACGACTACACGAAAGGATACCGTCTCTACGCTCCGCAGTCGTGTAAAGTGTTCACCAGCCGCGAAGTCTGTTTCATCGACGAAGATACACAAAGCGCACCGGATGAAAAGCAACGTCAGATCTTGGTCCCGCTAGACTTCGAGTTCGCTTCTTTATCGTCAGCTGCAAGAGGTTCGGACAACCACTTGGTCGAAGAAACCGAGGACGACGACACTGAGGACGAGTTCTTCACGGATTACGAAAGTGGAAGCGAAGAAGAGTTCAACGGCTTTGACATTTCACAAGAAACCGTGATCGACGTGACTCCTGTGCTCTCACCGCACAAAACTTCAAATCCACCTCAGTCACAGGTGTTGAGACGTAGCGGTCGGGAGCACAAAATCCCAGGCAAGTATAATGACTTTCAAGTAACGTACAAAGGTCTGCCGCATTCTCAACGTTTACAGGAGGCTAATACGAACGTGGACAACTTGGATACACCAGTGCAGCTCACACCCCAAGGCCTGTTCGGTGGTATCGCAACCGCAGTCGACATGGCCGTAGCTGAGGGACCACTACCAAATGGCGGTCCGGATACGCACCAAGAGGCACTGTCGCGGGAAGACGCAGCACTCTGGAAGCAAGCGATGCGTGAGGAGTATGGTGCGCTCATGGAAAACGACACCTGGACCTTGACCGAACTGCCTGCTGGTCGGAAGCCGATCAAATGCAAATGGGTCTTTAAGACCAAGCACGACGCAAACGGCAACGTGGACAGACACAAAGCGCGCCTAGTCGTAAAAGGCTTCTCGCAGCGAGAGGGGGTGGACTATGATGAGACCTACTCACCCGTGGTTCGTCATAGCTCCCTGCGGTACCTTTTCGCCTTGTCCGCCTGGTATGGACTGGCTACCGTGCAAATGGACGCTAAAACGGCGTTTCTCCAGGGAGAATTAAAGGAGGAGATTTACATGGAACAGCCTCCGTGTTTCCAAAACTCCCGTCAGTCAAGACTGGTTTGCCGTTTGAATAAAGCTCTATACGGACTCAAACAGTCCAGTCGCGTATGGAATGCTAAACTCGATGCTGCGGTGCGAAGGTTTGGATTGACTTCGTCAAAGTACGATCCGTGTCTCGACTATCGCATCGAAGGCAACCGGATGATATTTATTGCAATCTACGTAGATGACGTGATTATCTTTTCCAACGATAAAGCGTGGACTGCCGAGATCAAGATGAAGCTGGGTGACACGTTTTGCATGAAGGACCTAGGACCAGCAAGTTCATGTCTCGGAATACGGATTACCCGTGACAACGATGCCGTAGCTCTGGATCAGGAGGCATACATCGAGGCGATGCTGTCCCGATTCAACATGCAACATGCGAAGGCAGTGTCAACTCCGATGAACTCAACTTGAAGCTGACCAAAGAGATGACTCCGCAGACCGCGGATGAAGCTGCAAAAATGAAAGAGGTGCCGTACGAGGAGGCTGTAGGCAGTTTGATGTATCTAGCGCAATGCACCAGACCTGATGTCCTCTTCGCCGTTAACAAACTGAGTCGCTTCAACACGAATCCAGGAGTCAAGCATTGGGAAGCGGTTAAACACCTGTTTCGGTACTTACGAGGTACGTCGAAGCTCAAGCTGCAGTACACCAAGGGTTGTAGTACTGACCTGATTGGTTACTCCGATGCCGACTGGGCTTCGGACTAGGATGACCGCAAATCGACTAGCGGCTACATCTTCATGCTGCAAGGAGGTACGGTGTCATGGTGTTGCAAGCGGCAACCCACAGTTGCCCTATCGACTTGTGAAGCCGAGTACATGGCTTTATCTGCCACCGTACAGGAAGCCATGTGGTGGCGTGGTTTGATGAAACAACTTGGACTGGATCAAACCATCGAGCTTTGCTGCGACAATCAAAGCACTATATGCATTGCCAAAAACGGAGGGTACACGCCACGTACCAAGCACATAGACATACGTCATCACTTCATACGAGACGCCCTCGACCAGAACATCGTTCGGCTGAAGTACGTGAGCACCGATCAACAGATTGCAGATGGCCTAACAAAGACTCTTGAACGGATCAAGCTGGAGCGAAACCGAGTTGCTATGGGGGTGGACGCATCAGCTTAAGAGGGAGTGTTGAGATAGTAGTGTAAGCTGTGCTTCATCTGTTCTTTATATCTGTGGCAGAGTAGAATTTAACCAGCTTCGGTGTAGTTTACGCTCACCGTGTAGAACTTCTTATTCTCTGCCTGTACTGTACTTTTCCCCTTCATTCTAAAATAAACGATTTGCAATACGGAGGTGTCTGCGCGTGTTCTCTCTTTAATACATTTGATTCATAAATTTCATGTGTGTTTCTGGGTGAATTCTGTTTATGTGTAGTCACATGAAAGTCATGTGGAATTTTACATGGAAATTCGCCAATAAAAATGTGTGGAATTCTATTAGTGTATATTAAGCAAACTTTATAGACGTTCAGGAGAACTTCGTAGACAAACTTTGTTCACAATGTTCAATCTTTAGAAAAACTTAATTAGGCTTTTTAAAACTTCGTGGATTTTGTTCAGGGGACTTTGTAGAAATCCAGAAAATTTAATATAAATCTGGGGAACTTCATGGAGCTAAAGAAGATTTTTAAGAAAGTCAGAGTGCTTTGCAAAACTTCGGGAAAACTTTAAAGAATTGGGAACTTTGTACTAGTTGTGGAAACCTCGTTGAAGTTTAGAAAACTTTATGTAATTTTAAGAAACTTCATTATAGTTTTATATGTTTTAGGGCACTTCGTTAAAGTTTAATGGACTTAAAATAGATCAGGACATTCCGTGAAAATTTAGCAAACTTTGTAGAACTTCAAGTAACTTCGTGGAAAACGAAATTCTATAAAGTTCAGGGAGCTTTGTAGTACTGCAGCGAACTTAATAGGTATTCTGGGAACTTTGTAGAAGTCTAGCAAACTGTTCAAGGCAGTTCGTGGTTTTTTTTTAAGATCAAGGAAATTCGAAGTTCAACCAAAATTTGTAGGAACTCAGCGAACTTCGTAGAAGTTCAGAGACTAAGACCTTCTGGGTTTGATGTGGGATTTAACTGGAAGTTTTGGCATTTTTGTTTCACCCATATGATTAGGAAAATTCGTAGAGAAAGTTCAAGGTCTTTTCTGAAATTTGGAGAAGGTCATGAATGTTCTGAGATCCATTTTATTTATTTTTTGTCTTTATTATAGAAACTTTCAGCCTTAGGCTGGTTCATCTCTTACCTGGCTAAATTGAAATAACTTGAAAAAAAAAATAAATTATGGAACTTGGAAGAAGTTGAGAACATTCTCAAATTTCGGTTCTCAACTTCTTCCAAGTTCCATAATTTATTTATTGTTTTAATTATTTCAACTTAACCAGGTAAGAGACGAACCAGCCTAAGGCTGAAAGTCTCTATAATAAAGACAAAAAAAAATTAACCAGGATCTCAGAACATTCATGACCTTCTGCAAATTTCAGCAAAGACCTTGAACTTTCTCTACGAATTGTGTTCGTACACTGTTCAACATTGCACTAGAAGGTGTTGTGAAACGTGCGGGCTTTATCATGTGGGGCACGATCTCTTATAAATCCAGCCAGTTCATCTGCTTCGCTGACGATGTGGACATTGTCGGAAGACCGTTTCAGGCAGTTGCGTTGGATTAAAGACCAAGTATTCGTTGGCTGGAGGAATCGAGTGCGATAGAGCTCAGTGTCATAATCAGGTTAGTTCGAGGTGGTGGATTAATTTGTGTACCTCGGATCATTGGTGACGCCGAATAATGCAGCAGAGAAATTCGGATACGCATTATTGCCGGAAGTCGTGCTTACTACGGACTCCACAATACCTTCAGTAAACTCCACTACAATGTACAAGACGCTGATAAGACCGGTAGTTCTTAGTCGTTTTTCGTAGGGTGGGTGTACCAGTTATGGCTATACGTTCCAATTAAAGTGTGTTCCAATTATGGCCTATGGGATTCCCATATGCCATAATAGAAACACACCATAATAGGAACGTATAGCCATTACTGGTAGATCTAACCTAGTTGATTACTTATGTTCTTTTTTTTTCTGAACGCAAGCCCCGAGACTGGTCTAGTTTGGCGGTTGGGTGTTTCACTTGTGAACCTGGTTGTGTTCCGACATGCCGAACAACACTGCCGGAAAAATGGCGTTTGTCTCGAATCCGGTCGGTACAAGACATAGAGGAGCGCAGCCAATCAAGGATGTGTGTGACGCTCAAGAAACTGGAAACAAGCTGCCACAAACCATGTCAAATTCGGTGGTATTAAAATCAAAAGTATCACCCCACGTTCCTCTATTTTGGTCCTTTGAATTTCGAATACAAAAATCCTTCACTTACACAGACACCACATTACCGTACGTCCTCCCAACCACCCACACCCAACTTCATTCCTCTGCAGTTCTGTCTGCACTCGCAAGTGACTCACTTCTTCTCGCGTCGTCAACACAATCAGTTTACCAGTTTCCGATTCACTGCAACACATTTTGTCTCTAAAATTATCTCTTTTCCTTCATCATAACTGTATCGATAATCTCAGTTTATACTTTATACAGTAGTGAACAAACGAAATCTTCCAACAGTGTGAACAACAATACGATTCAACGACGGTTGTGATTCCATGGTTTGAGTGCGTAGGATGTAGTTTTGGGGAAACCATCTTATTTTTTCGGGGACAACTCCGGCAGGCAGAAGGAGCAGGAAAAATCTGTCGCGTCACAGTCGCCCTTCCACCCATTTGAAGAGGAAACGGCAAGGTGGGTGAGAAATTCCCTCCTTCAATTGTTCCAAAACAAACCAAGCTTACTCCATCAAGTGGTCGCGTAGTGTGCGTGAGAGCGAAAATCGAAGTCAAACGGAGAAAGAGAGAGAGGAACCGATGAATTTTCCTCTCCTCGCTGAACGACAGCGACGACGAGGAGGTGGGAAAGCCGAAAAGCTCTCGTAAAATCATAGCAAGCGCGGAGCGGTTCGTTCATTCGGTCGGAGTCGAAAAGGAGCAGGCCAGGAAGGAAATCAAAAGCAACAGCGCCAAACCAGTTCGGCTCAGTTGGCCGTGCGATTTAGTTGTGAAAAGTGTGTTTTCCTCCAGATAACGGTGTAGAGATTTGTTCGCAAATCGTTGTGATTGGGTTGAAAGGGAGGTGAACGAGGGGAGCTATTTATGTTGATGCACGCACGCACACATACTCTGATGTGGAGAAATTTGGCGACGACGACGTCAAAACAAAACTTCGCTGAAGCGAGAGTGCTAGTGGACGAGTGATTCGCGTCGTTTTCGAATAGGGTTCGCATGAGCTGGTGTTGGTTTGTCGGTTGGAAAAAGGATACGCGGAGCAGCACTGTGGGAAAAGCTCGGAAAAGCGTCTGGGATCCCAGTTGGCCGATTTTCTTCCCATGGTGTATCCGACCGTAGGTTGTTGTATAATCAGTTTGATAGTTGGAATCGAAAGTGCTTGGTCGGTGAATGGTGGTGATTTTTCCAGTGAAAATTTCCTCAAAAGTTGCCCTTTCCGGAGGGCGAAGAAAAATCAGTGTCACGCAGAAAAATAATCATGATTAACAATCGATGCCGGTGGGGGCAGGTGGAGTGAAGGTGTGGTTAGAGTTGACTTGGTGCCAGCCAGTGTAGTAGGCCAGGGTTTTAACGCACCGAACGCACCGGGGTAGGCGAAAATTCCAAGAGTGTTCCGTCTCCTTCCTTTGTACGTGTGGAAATCCGAGCAAGCTCTGAAAACAATATTATGGAATTATGTTTGCCGAACGGAGTCTCCTGAGCTGTTTATATAATATCCTGATTTTCATGCAGCGTAAGTATTTTTTTGCTTTCACCGTAAATGAGTGCATTTTCCCTTGATCCGCAATGTTATAGCCTACCTTGCAGGAGTGAAATACCGAGTATTGTTGTTCGTTTCCCCTTGTGCTGCTTTCGTCATCAAGCAAGGTGAACTTTGTTTATGCTTTTTTTTTTCACGGGTAGTATTACGAGTTTCACTTTCTCTTACTTGAACATGAGTTTTTTTTTGTAGAGTACTGAGTCAAGGGTGGCTTGATTCCGGGAAATTCTTCATTTTTTCCAACACATTTCTAATCGAACCCTCATCAAAAAGAATTTTCTTTCATGTCGGTCCGGTTCAGAAGTTCGTTGGATTTTTTCTTTGTCGAATCGAAATGGAATCGGTCGGTTGCTGGTGTTCAAAGCAGGGTTTCATGCGGTAATAATTAAAAGAGTTTTTATTTTCGTCGATCTGTTCCATTTCTACTTCGATTATCCGCTTTCTTCGATATCGTCGTCGTCGTCGTCATCGGTGACCGTTGGTGCTGCGAAACAGCAGGCGCCAATTGGACTGCATTACGACACGACATGATTAGCTCACTTGCTCTTAATACTATTGTTGGCTTTGGTACTGGCCTATTGCGTTCTCGTATCGATTTTGCGTTTTTTAATTAGAAACTTGGTTAGCAATCAGGATTGATAATTGATAACGGTTGTTAACGTCTGCCATACAAATTGACGTTCTCGACGGTTATCGATTAACAACCAGCAATGTTCGACATGAATAGGAATGATATACATATCTAATGATGGACTTTCGGCTAGCCTTGAAAGACGCGAATCAGTTGAAAATATGATGCCTTAGAAATGCACAAATTTTGCAAATTCTCTTTAACTTGTGGTTTTAAAAACTTCAAAATCCAAAACGCAACAGGATAACCATTTTTTTAAATTAGTTCCCCTTGTTAATCCGAAAAAAATGTGGTCATCGAAGAGAACCGAGAGAAATTTTTAATCCAACACTGTCATAACCTATGGAATGAAAACGTTATCAACGACACAGTCAAATTTCCCTTATGACTAATTCTCGTTGAAATCAGGCCGCCATTAACACATGGTCTATAAATATTTGAATAAATTCGCTTGATTGGTTGAAACTGATGAAAAAATGAGGTTGCCACTTTCCTTAGCTCAAATTAATGGATCCCTCTCTCACCAAGGGGCCTTATAGTTTTCAAAAAAGTTGAATTTCTAGCAATTCTTGACATATTTATCATGTTGAATCTTTGAAATTTCATATGGAACCCTCCTGCAAACAACACGTTATTATTAAGAAGAAGGATAGGGCTTTCATTCGGAATGGATTTTTTTGGCGGCCATCTTGGATTTGGCAACCACCGATTTTGATTCTGAGATGACCATCTGAAAGCTGAGCATACATTCTAATAGATAAACTCAACATATTAGGTGAGCAACGACATTAACATATAGTCGCTATATTCATAGTCTGGCGGATAGAATCTCGGGAACCAATTGAGCTGTCAAATAGCGGAACCAATCGAGCAAATCACGACCAACAACAGAAAAGAGCACATCAGCTATTGCGAACAAAACTTCGGAAACCCTTTTCTCGTGCCTCAAGGCTCGCCTACGCAAACTAACACAATCTTTGGGTTGGGGAAAGTTTCCCCTATCCGATGATGCCGATAATTTGCGTTCGATTGGCAAGGAAAGAAAAATCAACGTTTTGTTTATAAAAGTTGATAGTACTTTTTCAATTGATGGTCTAAAATATATTGAATTGGTTCCGCTTTTTGATAGATCGAAATTCTATTCGCCAGACTATGAATATAGCGACTATACATTAACACTATGAAACAACCATTTTTCCATCAACCATCAACGTCAAAGCAGCGCCAGCGTTCAGTAGGCCTGTGTTGTATATTTGTTTGCGTGGTTGTGTATTGTTGGCTCATTGTTCGCGTGTATCGATTTAAAATCTGATTGAAATCTTTTTAGAATCCCCAAGCAAATCACCTCAGAATTGTTTTGAAATTTTGTTCAAAATTATCTTGCTCTAAATTTTAAAATTCTCACAAATGTTCTTCCGTAATGGCCTTAGAATTATCCTCGAAATGAGCATGAGCATGATTGACCATCCGCGGATGCTACTGCGTTATTTCCAGATCAGCTGTAATTACACAGAGAACCGTCAGATGATGCTTGGGACTAGCAATCATCCTCAAAATGTAATTACTGGTGATCTAAAATTAGGCAATACCAGCACCGGCCGCGTCCGAATGCAGGTCAAGAAATGATTGAACTTGCACGAGAAATCACTGGGATGTTGGATAATAGGGGTAGGTTATGCAGCAAGCTTCGTTTTGGCAAACGGTATGCTGTGGGTACAGGTAAAGAAAACAAAAAAGGGGCTAACGAATCTTGAATGTGGAGAGGCATGATATTCTACTTAGTAAGCAAAAATGGTCGCTCTAAGGCCACTCAGCCCCTCATATTTCATTACACCACTTATGATCGAGTTGTTGTAGCCAGTGCTGAGATTTTTTATTGTCATTGACAGACCTTTGCGTGATATTGACGAAATTGTTTTTCGTCAGTGACAAACATTCACTTGGTAATAAAAAGTGTAATTTCGTAAATTCTGTGTCACATTACTGTTATCCAAGCAGTTCAGGACGTAGAGGCTTGTTCACTTTAACGGCTCAATGTCATTGTGTTGCTCAAGTCATCTCATTTCATTACAAATTTAGTTAACAAAAAAATCTGTACATGTTCGTCACTGACAGAATTGTCATTGACAATTTACATGGTTTACCTTGACGATGACTGTTAGCTCAAATGAGTGACTGAAGCAAAATCACCATTCAAACCTGGCACCGACAAAATGACGATAAGTTTCACAAAACACGATGAGCAAGCAATGTTACTATGAAACTCTATGAAACTATAATGGGGTCAGGGTTTGATCCCACGATTTTCTGCTCAGTAAGCAAAAACGGTTGTCTGAGGCAGCCGAGCCCTTCATATCAGAACACACCACTTATGATGGAGTTAATGTAAAAGTCAATTCTCTTTATCGATTTCCTCTTTTGATGACCATGGATTCACTAAGCTATTTTGCACTGTTTCTGCTATGCTATTCTATCATCCAGAACAACAAACGTACCAATGAATGTGTTTTCCGTCGAGTTATTATAACAAAAATCGATCAAAATCACTTGCACCCCTGCTTCCAAGTTTGGTTACAAGATTTCAACTATGGAGAGCATTTTGTGTTCTGTGATTCTGAATATTGCGATGAGTGTGCAAAATGTGCTCGAATATTGCTGCTTCGATTCCAAGTCGATTTGAATCGATCTTTTCGAAGCGAAAAGGAAGTCAATCAAAAATAAAAATCAGAAAATCGTTCCATTCTTGTAACCTCGTTTCACGCAATTGCATTCGCACACGCCCGAAGATCGGAGGCGAACGCCACTTCAACTTGTTTCGTCTACTAACGACTCTCTGATGACAGTGTTGGAGAAGCAGGAATGCTACATCGACATGTTTCGTCTAGAAACGATTATCTGATGACTGTGTTGAGGAAGCAGCATATGAATGTACGTAATTGGTTGATTTGTTAGCTATTTGACATTTACCACTTTTTCAATAGTTTCTGGTTGAAAATCAATCAAAAACGTAAAAATATTTCTGATCGATTGGTGATTAATTTATTGAAACTGGTCCAGGGGCAGCTGAGTTATTAACGTTCATAATTTCGTTACATGTTCCATTTTCGGTTTTCACAAAGTGTACCGCCATATAGAAATCACAGACGTAGTCCTACGTAAAAAAAATCACTCAGAAGTGCCTTTCCTCAAAAATACCACCCAAGCCTGTAGGTCTGTATATAATTCAAGAAGTTTCCGCCCAATCCACTCAGCTCCAAACAGATGACAATGCCAATGATGACAATTAATACGTATTGACATCCCCCAGCAGCTCAGAAATTTAATTAAAAATTCTATGGGCAGCTCTATAAAGTCCTGTTGAAGTCCTAACGAATTGAGACTAAATAATTACTGGCAAGAATATCCGAAAATAAACGCAGGGGAAAATGTGAAAATTGCCATCTCAGAAGATCCTTGGCAAGACTGGGATTCAAATCTAACCGCCCCCGCCACGACAGTACAAAATGTTTAGTTAAGAAATAATAAGCGTACTCGTAGAATAAAGCCTCCGTATAGTCGTATAGTTGGGATCCATTTGCTTGATATTGATGAAATTGTTAGTGTGGCCTTCCAAATTAATCATCAAAAATAACCGTGCCCTACTTTTGCTCAATAAAACAGATGAAGTTATCCTTAATAAGTAAAAAAAATCTCCTTAAAATAGATCAGGGTTCCTCCTTAAATGATTGATCAAAATACGTTAAAAATCTTAAAATGCTCAGTAAATATTTAAAGTACGCTCCCTAAAATAGAGAAAACTGTACATTAAGCATTTGAAAATGCTCCTTAGTATGCACCGCTTTGCACCATTTTGAAGTGTAATTGTACCATATATCATCGGAAAAGCTGCTGTAGAAAGGTTAATAACTACCATGAAATCAGCTGAAATGTTCAGTAAATCATTGTGTGCATTTGTGCATTTTTACTGAACATTTCAGCTGAGACGTAGTCCTTTATTTTCTATGAAAAATGAACATATAACGAGAAGGGTCAAGTTTCAATCGCATATTCCTCCAAAGCATTAATGTGAAATATGTCACGCAATATGCCATTCAATGGGGGCTTCGTTCAGCAATCTTGTGGCATATAGTACAAATAATGGAAATTGTTAAACAGCTAAGAAATTTAACTAAAATTGATAGCATTAAAAAATTTCCCATTCATTTGCTTAGACCACAAGGTGTCTTTCCTAACAGAGCCATCACATAGTTGGTACCAAACGAACCAAGCTGAAGTCGCATTTCCATTAGTATCGTTCAACACGCAGCAGCTCACAATAGACGATATGCGGACCGAAGGAAAG